ATTTTGTGCATCCAAAGCTTGGACAGATAGATGTTGGACAGGAATTTGGTCAAAGATAGCTCTGAGACAGGATAAATTGGGGTATATACTTCAGGGAAGTGAGAATTCTTATAGTAAGACAGAGGAGTAGTAGTTTGTGACTACTAGTGATGTGTAGGATGGATTAGAGAAATGACTGGGTGCAGAGAGTCCAAGTCTATTATAATTATCCATGAAAAAAAAAAAAACAAAGAATCCTTGATTCGATTCAATTCAACAAGTATTTATTGAGCACTGACTATATGCCAAGTACTCTTCTTGATGCTTAGGTTAACATTGTGAACAAAGTAATATAACTTCCCTGCCTTCTTGTGACTCACATACAAACAATTGAACACAAAAACAATAGGAAAGAAGACTATGACAGTAAGAGATGTTGCAAAGTTTGAGTTGACAGAAACCTCCTTGTATTCATGGTCAAGAAAAAGAAGAATTTCAAGAAAATGGCACTAAACCTAAGTAACAGGTAAAACAGAAAAGCCATTGATAGAGCAGGAGTAACTTATTCAGTGAATGTTGAATTCTTCCCAGTGCCAAGAACATTCTGATAAAGTGGTGGGATGATGGTGGGAATCCTGGACAAGTTGAAATTTTGACTCAGACAGGACATCCTTGTGCAATATTCAACAAAACAACTGAAAAGGTGATTTTGAAATTCAAAAGAGAAGTTAGGCCAAGAGAAATCTGATTAGGAAGTAATTTTCCAATTATCAACATATATGAAATTACCAAGAGAAAGAGAATAGAATAAGAGGCAACATCCAGAAACAGAAACTGTAAAACTGACATTTATAAATATACACTGTAAAAGTAAATAAAGAAGACTAAGTTAGAACAGTGATAGGCATGGATATAAAATAATAGGAAAAGAAAAATGCTAGAATATCATCAAAGTGATACTGATCTATATAAAAGAGTTTCCAAAGTGATGGGGTCATTAATATCAAAATGAGTAGAGATCAAATAGAAAAAGACCAGAAAGAGAAATGTTTCAGAAGGAAAGTGTGAGTTTAAGGCAAAAAAAAGCCAGAATACAAAAGATTGTTAGTTCAAGATTAGAAATGGGAAAAATTCATGTGTACTACCTTTTTAAGAAAACTTAGTAGCAGGATGAGCAGGTTTAGGTAATCTTGGTTCTTTGTGGGAGCATTAAGAGATGCATGAAGTGTGTTTATAAACTGAAGGGTAGCAGATTGTGCCAACCCAGAATATGCCTCTTTGGCATAAGGATTATCTTGAACTATTTTGAGAAACTGCAGGCACAAGAGAAGCTCTGAAAACAGTAAAAATTCCCCTTTTGTAGAGGAAATTTACATTAGAAAAGAGGCCTGTACAAGGAAGGGAGTTCTTATCAAAGATCATCTTTTTTGTTTGTTTGTTTGGGCCTGAGAAACTTATTTGCATGGCAGAGCAATCTTTGCTTACCAAACATTTCCTCTTCTCAGCTCCCCCAAAATTACCTTCCCCTGCTTGAAGACCCAGACCCCTATGCCTTTCTTTAGCTCAGGATGGTGTATAAGCTTCAATTGTCTACCTGCCTTCTGAGTCTCGTATCTTTGTGTGGCTCTCATATATTACATACGTAACTAATTATTTTTCTTTTGTTAATCTGTTTTTAATTAGGGGGCGTCTCAGCCAAGACCCCTGGAAAGGTAGAGGGAAAATTATTTTTCCTCTCTTACAAAGCTAAAGAGAAAAAGTTAGTGGTTAGACTGAAGATCCAAAAGCAGGTGGTGATAGAATAGTTCTCAGAAAAGACATTATCATTTGGAATCTGGACCAGAGTCAAAGGGATTAGCATTAATACAATAATGCATTAATGCATTCCTTCTGTCAGGCAAGCAGAGGATGCTATATGAATATACTTTGAGTTGCAGAGAAAAAAAATTAGAGGGTGTTTATGTATGAGAGCTTAGATTTTACTCAATAGAATAGGAGGAAGTTCATATGCCATGTCATTGGGTGATAAAGGTGATGAAAATTATGGAAATTTTGTAAAGTACCACCTTTATCTTCCAACACCTTAGTGAAATTCAAGACCCCAGGAATTTAAACCAAGAAGGAAAAGAGGGGAGGAAATAGAAAAGAAAGGACATATGCCTAAGGGAGATATTGAAGGAAGATCTGAACTTGAGGGAAACAATCTGCCTTTCAATCCATTGAGGAATCACTTTAGAGCATGTAATTAAAATAATAATAATAATGAGAGAAAGGAAGAAAGAAGGAAAGAAAAAAAGAAAGAAAGAAAGAAAGAAAGAAAGAAAGAAAGAAAGAAAGAAAGAAAGAAAGAAAGAAAGAAAAAGAAAGAAGAAAGAAAATGAGAGAGAGAGAGGGAGGGAGGGAAGGAGGAAAGAAGGAAGAAGGGAAGGAAGGAAGGAAGAAAGGAAGGAAGGAAGATAGATTGACTATTTTCCTGGAAAAAATTTATATGAAAAGGCAGTACCAAAAAAAAATAAACACATTGATATATGCTACATTTTCAACCATACCAGCTGAATTAATATGTTCTAGAATTCACTTGCTTTGGTAATCTTTAAATATTATCATCACATACATTTTGAAATTAATAAATTCAGTAATAATATCATAAAATATTTAGATGTCAAATGGAACTCTGGTTTTAAAAAGCCAAGATTTTTATCTAATAGTAGAATTAGCAGGCATAAAAATGTGATAAATTTATGTTATACTGGTTTATGTGAATGGGTAAGTAAAAGTGACACTGGATATCCATATTCATTTATTACCACAATCATTGCTGCTAATGGCAGTTGAAAAGATTTATTTGCATTTCACCAGGTAAGACAAGGTAAGCATTTTATATAGATTACAATTCCTAAAGAGAGTATTTGAATTTGTATCTACTACATTGTTTTTCAGAGTCGCATAATCATGAAGGAAATTCACTGCATGCCTGATGCAAATGTTAGTTGAAATGCACAAATTTCTTCTTTAAAGTGTTTAATACCTTCCAGAGACAAACAGGGTTTAATTTAATAAAAGACAGATGAAAATAAAATATGAATAAACTGAAGTCACTGCAATTAAGAAAAAATGAAACAATCCTATGTTCAGAGTAATTCTAAAAAATTGTTGCCTAAAAAAAAAAAAAAGCAGTCTTTTTGACTGTGCTGCTTATGATGGTGCTATTTTTCATTTCCCATTTCTCTTCATAAATCAAGACTCTAACTCTGTATTTAGACTTTAACTGATGATCCCCAAAATACAATGTCTATTTCTGCATGAGTGCATAGTCTACTATGTTTTCTCATGTTTTGCTCCATGATCGTCATTATGTATGAATGAAAGCAAAATGCAGTCAATATTCGTGATACTTCATCTCAATGAAGAATGCATACTGTAAACCTAACAAAATTGTAGCACAGATGGAAAAAAAATGACATTTTTAATGATGACACTCATAAAACATTAAAACTCTTTTTTTAAGGAATTTCTCTATGATATTTGGTGGTTTGTGGAGTTTTTGGCTGTTTTGTGTTTCACATCCAAAGTTGCTTTACATTAAAATAATTTGCCATTTGCAAGAACTACATAAAGTGGATCTCAAATTTAGTTTTCAAATATTTTCAGAAATCTTAGAGTTTTCAAGTTTAAAAAGTGCTGTGTACAGCAGGCTATGAGTATCATAGGGGCCATACCAGACTATAAGGATCACTACACGGATTCTGAAACCATAGTGTTTCTTGAACTGTGTCCTCCTGATTGCATACATCAGAATCACTGTTAAAATGCATTTTCCTGAACTCTCTCTGAGCCAGAATTTCTTAGGAGTGGTAGCCAGCAAGCTACAAATTTAACATTTTTCCCAGAAGACTCATGCGCCCTTAAGTTTGGGAATGACTGCCTAATGTTGTGTCATAGTTTGGCAAATTTCACAGTCATTGGGAAGGTAGGGCAGTGACAGGTAGAAAGAGGTTGAACACTAGAGTGATTTCTTTGCTTGAAATATAGACCGTCACCACCTACATTTAGATGAAAGAGAGATACTGTCCTACCTATGGCAGGCATAATTTTAAGATGATCCCCCCAAGATAGCCACTGCATATAGCCTGCATAACCCCTGGAACTGTGAATATGATGGATTTACTCCCATTATTAGGTTATATTATATGGGACAGTTGATTTTAAGAAAGAGGGTTTATCCTAGGTGAACCTGACTAAATCTGATGAGCCCTTAAAAGGTACTAGGCTCTTCCTGAAGTCAGAGATTCGACACAAAAGAGAGATTCAATAAGATTCCCCATTGCTGGGTTTGCAAATAAACCAGGGGCCATGTGGCAAGGTATGCTGGCGGTCTTTAGAATAGGAGTAGACAGCAGCCCCCAGATGACAGCCCACAAAGAAACAGGGACTTCCGGTCTTAACACCACAAGGCACTGAATTTAGTCAACAACCTCAATGAACATGGAAACAAATTTTCTCCCACAACCCCCAAATGAAAATAGAGCGGGCCAACACTTTGGTTTCAGCTTTGCAAGACCCTGAGCGGAGAATTCAGCCATTTCATGTTTGAATTTCTGACCTACAAAACTGTGGTCTAACAAATGGGTGTTATTTTAAGCTGCTAAACTTAGGGTGATTTGTTTCACAATAATCGACTTAAAATACTATTTTAATATTTTAATGCACTGATACATACTCACTTAGCCCAAAAGTGACTCTGGCCTGTGGTGATAGTATAACCCAACCAACTTGAGTTCACTCCTTGGAGAGTCTCAGAGAGAAACTACACCACGAGTTGTCTCACAGTGTAAACTGTATTTACAGCAAGTAAGATGGGTGGTGGGGTAACTTCCAAAGCTGTGACTCCCCAAGGAAGGGTGAATGGGTCCCTTGTATTTAGAATTAGGATGAGTATTGAGATAGGGAAGTCTTTTTTTTTTTTTTTCTTTCTCAGTTTGGTTTTATTGATGTCGGGGCTCAGGCCTTGACCGTGAACTTCAAGTACAGCCGCGGGCCTTCCGCGGCTGCTTCTTGGTCTTCAAGTTCTCCTGGTGCTTATTCAGGCAGCGAGCGACACATGGCATGTGTCCTCTCGGGCGCAGATCCAGGGGCTTGGACTTCTTACCCTTGTCGAATTTCCTGAGGTTCTCTTTCAGAGTCTGGTTGATGACGGCGAGAACACCGGCGATAGATTTGCAAACAACTCGGATCTTGGAGAGCTTACAAGCCACATCGCCTGCCGCTTTGGTGATGCGCAGCTGGGACAGCTCCACCTTCGGGTGTTCCAGCTGCTTAAGCAGCTCCTCCTTCTTCTTGCCAAAGGTCTGGAGGCATAACCTTGGCCAGGTCTGCGCAGTCTGCCACCACCCCTCCTCCCCGCAGACTTGCATGTGGAAGCAGGCACAAGGCTGAACATGCGCATTAAGGAAACGTGCTATACCTACATCGCATGTTGTGTTAAGCGGGGCTTGCGCTCCTCGCGGGGCAGAGATTTTAGTATTATAATGAGATAAAGGTCACGGTCAGTCATTCCAAGCCCATCTGTGCAGGCACGAGTTGGGGGTTTAGCTCAAACCGGCCTGGGTGGTCTGGGCCACCAGAGCTCTCCTCTGGGCAGTTCATTATTGCTTGAGGGGTAGTTTCAGTTCCATCACAGTGTGTTATGCCTGTAGGGTCTCTTGTTAAGAGATAAACTTGAAAGAAGAGTTTAAAGAAAATGTGGGACTAAGGTCGATGGGTATAAGCAGGTGAGCAGTAAAGGTCAAGTCTTGGGGCCTCCCTGGTGACAACAGGCGCGATCTGAACAGTCACTCTTTTAGGCACAGTTTTACTTCCCCAAACCATGTATATGAGTGAGATTGGGGTTATGAACCAGCAGATTTTACATATCAGAGTTAGGTTTATAGAACCACCAAGATCTGTTGTGTCTAGGTTAATTAAAAAAAAAAAAAAATTTTTTTTTTTAACTAAGAAATCCTTGGTAGGAAGAGCAGAATCCCAAAAAGTTCGAAATTCCCCCATCAGAAGTGATTTTTAAAAACTCCGAGCAAGTTTATATGTTACAATCAACATTGTAAGGTAAATTAATATTTTAATCGCTCTTACCAAAGGGGCATAAGGGCTTAATTGGAGTCGATGGTCCAAGATCCTGCACTAAAGCTGCCAGCATCATGCCTCATTCTCAGAACAATTCTTTTCCTCACCAAAGAGAAGCTCGTGAGTCCGTCTATTCAGCCAAAATAAATCATTTTTTTCTCTTAATGTGTCCATAAGCAACATCTACTTTCCATTACTTCTTGTGGCCATACAAGCATTTCATTGACTATTTCCATAAACAGTTCCCACATGCCCATGCCTCCTTTAATGACTTTGAGATTCTAATAAAGTGATTAGAACTCCTTATCCCTGCTGTGGCCTCTGCTAAAAGATGTGAAAATACCCCTCCTGCTGGGGTTGCCCCGCCAGCAAAATTCAAATGACCCACCAACAAGTACATCTGTTGTAATTTGACTTTCTTTGCCCTTGTTACTTTTTTTCTACCATTCTATAAGACCTTTAATTTTCCCCTTGAGGCTCTAAATTCCTTTTTAATTATTTATTTGTAGAGACTCTCTTCTACAAATAAAATCAGGTTGATTGGTCTTCTAGTTTTCCTCTATTGGAGTTTTAACACTGTCACTTGTTCTCCTCACAGCGTCCCTAGCTAATATGTGTGCAAACATGACGGGGTCATCCAGTTCACCTTATGTATTCACTGAATGTTCGTGTTATGGGTCCCAGATATCCTGACTAACATCTGTACAGTTGTGATCTTGCTGAGAAATGTAGCCGTGAATCTCTGCAACACCCAGTCAATAAGATTTTGGCAAGTAGTTCTGCTAAACCCAGGAGGCAATTTACAGTGGCAGAACATTTAGACAAAAACTGTTGAATGTTTTATCAATCTTCAAGAAATGTTAAAAACAAAACTGGGTTTAGTGGAAACATTTCTCTTTTTTTGGACTTTCTGATTTATACATTACACACTGGCAGAAAGGATACTTAGTCCTTTGCTGGTTTTGCCTTTAGCCTTGTCCTCTGGTGGTAGCAGGCAGCCCTTCTTCCCTCGGTCTGGATGAGACAATACTGAAACCTCTCATTCCAGGATACACCTGTGACCTGTCCTGGCTAACTGAGGCTGCATTTCACTGACCACAGTGGGAAATTCATTGCCATTGTGGGCCAATAATTGTCTGGGGATTTTCATAAAACTGTTGGGAAAGGTAAGCTGTCTTTTTCCCCTGGGGTTTCCACGTGGGTTGAGAAACCTCTGAAGCCGCTGTTGACCAAATTTGCTCTTAACATAGGAGAATCTGCCCAACAATGACAATAATCTACGAGAAAGCAGAGCTGAGGAGAGTGGTCATTTCAGTATTCTATCCTTTGAAAACTCTACACCTAGCCATGCCTGAAGGGATACCACCCCCAGCCTTTTCAATTACTTGAGCCAATCAATTCCCTTTAATAGTTAAGCTCCGTTGGGCTGGGTTTTCAGAGTTGCAACTAAAAGAGTCTTGCCTTATAGAAAAGGTCCCTTTCACAAAAGTTAAATTAATTCGACTCTACCCTTTGAATTTAGTAAAAATGACATTATAAAGGTAATTTATTGACTTAATAATTTTTGAATGGAATACAATCACACTCCCGAAATATACCTTTGGTGATCATTTTAAAGTCATAACCATTTACATAGTTTGAATTTTTCCAGTATTTAAAGGTATTTCAATGATACAATCTCATTAATTCTTACAATGTCCTTTTGAACTAGCCAGGGGACAGGTATGCTTATCTAATAATATAATAGTCCTGTTCTCTCTTGTACTTCATGACACATTTCAGTGAAGGTTGAAAAACAAAGCACGAGGTCACCTCAGTAAGCACCTAGAGAAAACAGTAATTACTTACCCACTGGTGGGGTATCGCTGTGGAAATCAGAATAAAGGTTATAGCACAAATTCATCACCTGTGAGGAACTGTGTGGCCAATAGAACTTTTAATAATGTAGGTCCATGGAGATAAAATTTACGTTGCACTATATAGATATTTGATTGACACATTTTAGTGAAAGCTCTTCTACTTCATTATATGTATATTCTATGTAAGATAATTATATAATTCATAAATATAATAGTATATTTAATAAATGGTTATTATGTGTAAGTCCTTGCAAACTGTGTATTTAAATATGCGAAAATATAAAACTGAAATATGCTAAAAAGAAATTTTAGTGTTCCTAATATTTTTCCTCATTATATAAGAAGATTGTGGGGGTTATTTTCCTGCAATACAATAGCAGCTATTTGGACTCTTTAGTAAAGCAAGATTAGGGTAGGAGATACTCCCACATTGTTGAATATTTTCCTTATTAAGATCTAAATTATATTTTAATTTGTCAATAATTTCTTTCCTAAAATATATTATACAACCCTGACAATTTAATTTGTTCTCGATAACTTAGTGGCCTCCTCATGAACATCCTTCTGGGTTATAAAATTTAAAATGCTTCTGGATCTATTAAAATATGTCAAGTTATTTAAGTCCAAGTGCTGTGCTTTATGAATTCATATGGCTGCTTTTGATAGTTTCCCATTTTCTTGAATTCTGTGGAATTTGTGCACTTTTCAGTAAAACCTTTCTTACTTGAGTGGATTTGAGTGAGTTGCTATTCCTTATTGAATGTTTTAGGATTTTAGGAGTGTTTACAGAGGTGTTTTATTTTATTTTATTTTTTGAAGATTTTATTTATTTATTTGAGAGAGTAAGAAAGAACATGAATGGGATGAGAGGCAGAGGGAGAAGCAGACTCCCTGCTGATCAGGGAGTCCGATTCGGGGCTCAATCCCTGGACTCCGGGATCATGACCTGAGCCGAAGGCAGATGCTTAACCGACTGAGCCAACCAGGCGTCCCTATAGGAGGCATTTTAATACGGAGCCTTAATAAACCAGCAATTCCACCCACTGGATATAATCCACCATAAGACATGTTCAAAAATGTTCAGAGAAGCACTATTCATAGTAACCAAAAACTGGAGATAAAACCCTAATGTATATCAACAGCAGAGTTCGTAAACAAATTTGAGTATATTCCTACAATGGAAAATTACAAAGACATGAGAGTGAATTAACTATACAAAACAATACGGATGAAATTCCAAAACAAAGTGTTGAGATAGTGAAGCTGGATAAAAGACAGGTTGGTGGGTGGAGGTCTGTAGTAATTAAAAAAGAACAGCAGTGCCTGGGTGGCTCAGTTAGTTAAGCATCTGACTTTTGATTTCAGCTCAGGTCATGATCTCAGTGTCCTGGGATCGAGCCCCACATTGGGCTCCCCACTCAGCGGGGAGCCTGCTTCTCTCTCTGTCCCTCCTTCTGCTTGTGCTCTCTCCTTCTCTCTTTCTCTCTCTCTCTCAAATAAATAAATAAAATCTTTAAAAAAAAAAAACAGTAAGGGGAACTTTCGGGTGCTGGGTGCCAATAATACTCTTTTCCTCGATTCCGGTCCTGGCTATACAAGCATAAATACATTATGAAAAGCCATGAAACTGTGCTATGATGCGTGTACTTTTCTGCATGTGTTTTATAGTTCAGTAAAATTTGCTTACAAAGAAAATAAAAGTTAATTATCATATATGCCTTTATATTTATATTGGATACCACTTTCGAAGCACATGTATTATCTTTCAAAAAGCACATGTATTTTCTCATTTCATTCATTCATTCAATAATCGTTTATTTGTTTCTTTTCTGTCGTGATTGAGGTAGCAGGCAAGGGTCAGGGGATGCAGCACAGATTAAAGTAGACATAATCTCGTGGGCGCCTGGGTGGCTCAGTCGGTTAAGCGACTGCCTTCGGCTCAGGTCATGATCCTAGAGTCCCGGGATTGAGTCCCGCATCAGGCTCCCTGCTCGGCGGGGGGTCTGCTTCTCCCTCTGACCCTCCTCCCTCTCGTGCTCTCTGTCTCTCATTCTCTCTCGCAAATAAATAAATAAAATCTTTAAAAAATAAATTAATTAATTAATTAAAATAAATTAAAAAAAAATAGACATAATCTCTGCTTACACGGAGTTGATAGCCAAGCCAACTTATGCCCACCCAAAACATTCCTGTGAAGTAGGTAGACAGGGTACGGTCTTTTGAGTTTTGCTTGTTTATTTGTTAAGATGGGAGACAATTAAGCATGCTTCTAGGCTTTAGAGAAGAACCCATTTGAGAGGCAGCAGAAGCAGTATGTGAGAGGGAGGGAAGGATTTAAAAGTGAGACCCCAGAGGAGGATAAGAGAAAGGAACCCAGAATGCAGGAGAAAGGAAGAAAAACTCTAAACTAGGAGCTGTCAGGGGTCATATGCTGT